AAATATTTGAATCAAAGATTTTAATCAAACTATCATTAAAACTATTCATCCATTTTGGTGGAGTTAAACTCAATACCCAAGATCCAATGATGTTAATAAAGCTCATGATAAAAAAAATCACATAGCCAAAATATATTCAAAAATAAATTGCATCTAATAAACAAAATAAAAAAAAGGAAATGATTTTTAAATGGTTTTTTAAATTAAAATAAAAGGCAAAATAGAAAACTATACTCAAAGTATTAAGGAAAAATTAAAAGAGACCATAGAAAAGTCAAAAGTGATCTCAAAATATTTTTATAAATTTTTTGGTAATTTTTTAAAACAGAAAAGTATTTTTAAACTAATTAAAATCACTCAAATAAGTGGAAAAAAGGATCAAGAATAGTAAAAATCAAAATAAAATTCTAGAAAAAATTTAAGAAAGTCAGAAATGAAAAAAAATGATCTTGATGAATTTTTTTTAGAATTTAAAAATGCCAAGAGGTATTTTTAAACAATTAGAAACAAGTCAAAATAAAGGAAAAATTATAAAAAGTATCAAATATGAAAATAAAATCATGATAAAGTAAACACACTGGATATGATTCAAAAAAATTACATATCACGCCATCATTGGTTGAATCACGACACGTAGATCGTCTTCAACCTCTAAACGCCCTAGATTGGAGTTCCTCAAACTGTAAAATTAGCGAACCAAATCGGTACCATTAAATTCTTCTCTTCAAGACGATTCTAATGGTACCCTCGCGCCAAATTTATATAAACTGAGCAAGGCTTGAATTGAGAAAAAGCATAAATAATAGCTAGCACGAAATTCTAGAATATCTCACTCAAATCTTAATGAAATCACAAATTATAAGAAGCACGTGAATTAGAAGGATGAGGAGAGTAAATTAGTCTTTTATTTGGATTAATTTGACTAAGAAATCTACCTGAAAGAAGTAGCAGAAAGTTGCTCTGAAACTGGACTTTTGTAGCTCAAAATAGGTCAGGATTCTTGAAGGTAAGAGTATGGTTAGCTTCAGAGAAGTTCAATGAAGCTAACTAAATGGAAACTTTAGTGTTTTATGGTGATAATGAAAGAAATCGGTAATTCAAATTCAGAGTTCGTGTGGGATCTGAACAGGAGTCAATTGGCTATCAAAAGCTTGTAGAAATAGGCGGAATGTGCATATTATTTATAGGAGAGGATGAGGCAATGCTTAAGCGTGAGAATGGGAGAATAATTGAGTGAATTCGTGTGAATCTGAAACATGAGCAATGTGTTACTTGGTTAGCATCAAAACTCAGCCAAAGTCTGCGTTTCATGATGCTAAATGCTTTTGGAAAGTTGCTAAACATGATTAGAAGAAAAAACGCATGAAAACTGTGTTTAGAGGGAAAAATATGGATTTCAAATTCTGACTTGGAAGGAAAACTCAACTTCAAGCAACGAACTTTGAACTCATGGCGTGCACGATTTAGGGAACCTTAGGACATTATTCTTGATGCATTGGAAATATGAGGTAACATTCTTCATAGTGTTCCAAGAAAGAGATCATTTGGATGCTTGAGCTATAAGTTTTGCTTGGTCAAAATCAGGAAAAAAGTGTTGACTTTTATACTTAGAATTTTTTTTTAAGTTTTTCTTCAAAAATGACCTATAATGTTTTGACTCCAAACAAGGTATTCTTCCAAAATTTTGATTTGATCAATGATGCTAGATTGAAGTGGACTCCTTAAAGAGTATTATGAAATTTGTATCACTCAAAAATTCCAAATATTGGACAAGTTATGATCCTTTGAATTTGATTAAAATCCATAAGGTAGCCTATAATCTTTTGAGCTTTTAAGGCATCTTCTAACCATTTTCAAGTTTTGCGCATAAAAGAAGAGTTAAAGTTCACGCTCTTAAGATCATTATGGAAAAAGAGTGGGCTTAAAGAGATAAAAATTGATCAAGTTATGACTTTTTGAAGTCACATGAGGGAATTTAATTCTCTATTGAGAGGACTTGTAATCTTTCTCAATCATTAGTGATCTTTCACATATAATTTGCTTGAACCTTTTGAAGTGATTTGTTGATAACCCTTTAAGGAGAAGCATGTCTTTGGAATCACTCAAAAATATCAAAAGATGGATAAGATATAGCCATTAGAAGTCCAAAACCCTAACTCCTAGAGCATCAAAATGGCTTGGGAACCCCTTTGAATTTTGACAATCTTTCTTGTACAAATACTTTTGCTATGTGAAGAGATGTTGTTATGGATGATAATGAGAACATATTTTGACTCCCTTTGGAAACTTTAGGAATGATTAGTCATAGTAGACCTTATCATGATATTACTTTAAAGCACTTTCAATGATGAAGCTTGAATTTCAATGAAGCTTTGTTGAAGAAGGCATCGAAATAAACTCATGAACCTATGAATCAACCTGATGAAATGTGTTATGCCCTCGCCTATAGTATCATCATTTAAAGCAAACATTCATTGTATTTGTTAGTTAAAATTTAATTAACACAAGGCATATTTGATCATAATATACAAATCAAAGTGCTTGGTGATATCTCATGAGCAAACCTAAAGAGAGGAAGAAGAACCAAACCCTAGTGTGATCTTGATATGACTGAGTTGATATGAGATGATAGAGGAATTTTACGGGGAAAATTGGGGTATAACAGTGGTGTTGTCGTGTGATGAAATAGTAGAGACGATGTGCACGGCGTAAGAACTAGAAAGTAAGATTTGATGGTGTGAAATTATATCTCTATTTTGCATATTATATTGCACGATGATGATAATGTTATTGTTGGCCTAGAATGGCGTAGTGTTAAGGGCTTATGCTCTGTTATTGCATAATTATGTTGTTGTGTGTCGGTGTTGCATGCATTCATTGTTGAGGGCTTATGCCCTGTTGTTGGCCTGGATTGTCAAATTGTTGAGGGCTTATGTCCTGTTGCTGCCCTATTTGGCATTTTGGAGAGAGTTTATGTCCTGATGGTACCACATGCATTTTAGTTGGTATTAGTCGCATTGCATTACATTATTAATTAACTTGATGCTATATGAGGTAGAAGATGTATATATTATATTATGATGGATATCATGTGTTATTTGTATTATTGATTTTATGTTGATGTACCTTGTGATTGCTATGAATAAAATAAAGGTGTGAGGTAAAGAAGTATAATTATGCGTGTTTGAATTGTTATCTGCTCATTATTATGTTTTCTCTTATATTGTTATGATATCTCACCCCTTTTATTTGAATGTTGTCTTTATATTGATAACATGAAGATGATCTGAAATAGTTCGAGGTTGAGGTTAGATGAGGAGTTTGCCTCACATTGTGTAGTTTGAGTCGGTGTCAACTCTGATACGTAACACCAGGGAAATGAACGCTTGCTTGTTTTGCTTAAATGATATTTTTGTTTTGATGATTTGTTGGAGTATTACAAACTCTCTTTTATTTGGTAAAATATTGGTTTATGATTTAATTGAGGATGTTGATTATTAAACTTGATTCCTTTTTCCGCTGCAATAATAAAATTGAATTTTGAGGACTATATTGAAAATATTGTCGGTTCACTTGAAAATGTGTTATGTATCTGTTCATTGATTCTCGGGTAGTTTTTTTATATGTTGAAAAATGTGGCATCTTATTCTTGGTGTTTGATTTAAAAATTAAATTACTCTGATTTTTGTTAAATTACTTATGAGAAAAATAGAGTGTTACAATATATATATCTGAACTCTGAAGATATTTTAGGTTTTTCGTCAAAGATCTAAAAGAAAAGAGTCAGATCTAAAGAGAAATTCTCAAATGATTTTTGTTGATTATATTTTCTTACTAGATCAATTTGTGTTATAAGAGTAATGTTTTGTTTTATAATAACAATATTTTTTCTTAGCAGTATCTGATATTGGCACAAGGAGCAGCTTAGATGAATTTCAAGAAGTGAGGGTTTCTTTCACATATGCACTTTGTAAATATGATGATACTAATCACTAGCTAGTTTTTAAATTTCTTTATCACTCAATATATGTGATATATATCTTGTACCATGATTTAAACTAGTTTTGTTAGATATCCAGAATAGCTCATGTATATCAGTATTGTGCATTAGAATTTTATGCTGACAATAGTTGCACTTTTTACGGTATATTGCTTTGCGTATAGGAATTCGGGCTATATGATAATCCGCTTATATATCGGTATTGCGTTTTAGAATTTTGACTATACGGTATTGTCAACATATACCTGTATTATTTTATCATTAATATATAAATATTTATTGTTATTTTATATAAAAAAAATTAATATATTAAAAAAATGTTAATATAATTCAAAAACTATTTGCATATATTAAACTTAGAAGTACTATTAATTATTTATTTTTAAATTTTAACTTTTTTTAGTTTCTATTTTTAGTTTTTATGTCATCGTTGTGTATAAGTATATAAGACTACAAGACAATTTTTATTAGTCGAAAGTAATATGAAATGATGACTTGTGTCAACGTTTTTAATAAAAAGTACTATTTAATGATGACTCACACCAACTTATCTAAAAAATACCTGCATCAACAATTTATAAAAAGCGCTATCTAAAATAGATTTACACCAGCACTTTTAGTAAAAAGCATTGCTTAATGTGATATCACACGCCAGCGATGTTATCAAACAACAATGTTATAAGTTGATTTTAGTCAATACTTTCGTCAAAGAACGTTTATTAAAGTGGACATATGTCAACACTTTTAAGAGAAAGCGTTTTCTAATGGTTGTCATATGCCAGCGCTTTTACGAGGAAGCGCTTTCTTATGGATGTCCTATGTCAGCGCTTTAATTAGAAAGTGTTGTCTAAAGATGACTTACGTCATCCGTTTTAAGAAAAAGCATTGTCTAAATTGTATTTAAGCCAACGTTTTTTCATATAAAAAAAGTGTTATCTATACCTACAGTAATGTCAGAGTAGACAACATTTTAAAACGCTGCTAAAGGTCAAAATAAGTTATGTCTAAAGTCTTTTACAATCTCTATACCACTAAAGTTGATGTTGATAATTGGATCCAAATTGGTTATTCTTATCCTCTAATTGAAGTGAACGTTGTGAGCAAGCTTAATAAAGAGTTGAAGGATGATGAAATGAAAGAGCTATCTTTGATAATGGCTCCTTGGAAATCTCCGGGGCCTGATGGTTACCCGGCTAGTTTCTTCCAACAATCTTGGAATATGGTGGGAAACAATGTATGTAGTTTAATTCAATATTTGTGGGCCAACATTGTAAGATAGAGGAGATTAATCAAAATGAGCTTTATCTTATCCCAAAGATCAATTCTCTTGAACATGTTAGCCAATTTAGACATATTGCTCTATGTAATGTAACTTATAAAGCCCTTAGCAAAATTATAGTCAACTGACTAAAGTGAACAGAGTGGTGTCTCCAAATCAAACTGATTTTATTCCAAATAGAAATATTTGAGAAAATTAAGAAATAGAAATATTTGAGAAAATTAAGAAATCCTTCGTAGTATGAATAAATTAAAAGGTAAGACGAGGTTCTTTGCTATTAAAGTTGATATGGCAAAAGCTTATGATAAAATAAACTGGAAGTTTGTTGAGAAAGTGCTTATGGAGCTCACTCTTCCTCAACACCTAAAGAGCATTATTATGGCTTCGATCTCTTCAAGTGCTTGAGAACTATTTGGAGTGGGCAAAAAGGTGATTTCTTCAATCTCAAGAAAAATTTTAAGTGTAATACTTCAAAAATCTAGATTTAATTATTTAATTGATTATTTGTGGATTATTGATGATTTTATGTGTGATGTATGATCATGTGTTATGGGATAGTGTGGAATGAGGTGCTAGTTAGAATTATTTAGATTTAAATAATTTAGTTTATAATATTTAGAATTATTTATTAATAATTAAATAAAATAATTGGTGTGTAGAGATACTAAGGCATCGTGGTAATATATGGTGATAAGTGAGGCATAAAGGGAATAATATAGAAAGGATCATATGGGTAAAAAGAGAAAATAGAAGAATAGTGATCATTTTGTGCGATCGTAGAATTGAGAGAAACGCCAAGAAGAGGTTAGGACTCAGAGGTAAATTCTGTAGAACGTGAGGAAAGGGATCGATCGATAGGAATTTGAGGTAAGGGATTTAGTCTCGATTTATTATGATTGATGGGAGGTTAAAGTAGAAGTAAGTTTTGTTTTTTTTAATGATTTGATGAAATATATGATGAAATTGTAGATTTATGATGTCTGTATTTTGTGATTTATGTTTAATATAATGTGATGATGCAATTTCATGTTAATATGTGATATATGATGATTATAATGTATTTTAGATTGAGTTTGGTATTGTAATCGAAATTGGAATGGGGCTGGATAGTTCAAAAATCACAACTGAGAAGTTGCAGTTTCGTGAACACCGTCGAGCGAGCAGGGGTGAGGAGAGCGCTCAAGCGTCATCGAGCGAGACAAGCGGCGATGGAATTGGTAGAAAAAGTGAGCTACTGGAAAATGTATAGGGAGGGGATCATCGCTCTAGCGATCGAGGTGCCGCGACTGGTTTTTTAATCAGAGCTGCCACTATTAGTTTTTATCCTAGGGAAGGACATCTAATAGGAAACCCTAATTCGCAGACAGAGATTCTAGGTTTCAGACTCAATTAGACGAAAGGAAGGTGTTAGGCACCTTTCATCTACCTTGTTCACAAGGATACCGGCTTCTAGGTTTGGGGTAAACAGGATTTTAAGTTTTAATTAGAAAGACTCGCCACGATTTTTGATCGTATGCCTACGTATCCTCTTATGAGGAATCAGAGTCCTAATTCGTAGTTCGTATGGGGTTGGTGTTTTTTAGGGGTCGCAAACGTATTTTGAATCACCTCGCATTTTGATCGCGAGTAGTGATTGCGGAGATTTTGACTAAATGCGCGGTAAGTCAAAATCTGTTTGAAACCCTTTGCAAAAACTGTTGATTAGCTTAATTTATTGCGAAAAATAGTTTGTTGTTTGTTGCGTGTTTTTTAATCATGTTAATTGCAAAAAATTCTTGATTAATGCATGATTAAAAATATTTTAAAGCAATATATAAAAAATAACATATGAGTTTTTACATAAATAATTTATCTATGATAACAAAAATAATAATATGATAATAAATAAAAACATGTAAAACATAAGAATTTAAAAAAATAAAGTATAAAAATTAAATATATAATAATTATAGAAATAAAATAAATAATAATAATAAAGAAATAAGAAAAATATAATATAAAAAATAGATATAAAGGAAAAGATAATAATTTAATTAATTCAAAGGGGGTGTAGTTTATGTTAGTAAGTAAAACAGGGGGTGTGGTAATTAGATTGGGTTAGGCCCAAAGGTGCTGGCACGGACAGGGGGTGCATTTGCTTTGATGGCTTAGTGATTAGGCAGAAGGGGAGTGCAAAAACAATTGGCCTTAAGCCCAGGATGCTTAAGGAAGGGCAGGATAGATCTAGTATAGTGAGGGCGCATGATTACTACGACGCAGACTCGGCCTCTGGTCGTCTGATGATGATCAAAGGGGTAAAACTGAAGGAACATGCTATTATAGTGCACTAGTGCGCATGGGATTGAAACGAATTATAATATGTTTTTTTCACTTCTTTCAGTTTCATTTCTTTTTTGTTTTACAGTCCAAACCCTTCTTCTCTCTCGTCGTACCAGTCTTCAATCCCTTCTCTCTTCCTCGCCTTCTTCAACCTTACAACCCTTCTCTCTTCTAATCCGCGGTGGTGTAATCACAAACCCCAACCCAGAACCCCTTAATTGTAACCCCCCAAATACAAAAACAACAAAAAAACAAGCTATGTTTATTTACCCCTTTAGCGATTGTCGTTCCTCAACTTCAAATGTCCGATTCACCGATTCCTCTTCTTTTTTGTAGGTGACAGTGGAATGAAGATGGTGACGGTGGCTAGTGTCGAATAGTGGTGGCTCTCGGTTAGGGTTTCAGAAATTGAAACCCCAACCGTCCTCTCTCTATCTTCTTCCTTCGCGATTATCCCTCAATGTTCAAGGCTTCTTCTCGGTAATCTTCATGATCCAGTTTCCGTTCTTCCTCTCTGTAATCCAAACCCTATTTTGTATATCATCCTTCTCCCCCGTCCTCTGTATTTTTCTTCTGTTCTTCTCCTTCTGTAAACCCCCTTCTTTTAGGATACTTAGTTTTCTGTATTTATAGCTTTAGGGTTGGAATTTACAGTTAGCCTTAGATTTAGGGATTAGGTTAGTGATTTATGTAATTGATTGAGAGATTGGATTTAATTTGATTCTGTAATTAATAATGTAATAAGATTTTCCAGATTTTGTATTATATTAGATTTGTATTTTGATATTGCTTGAATGTTGTAATATGTTGAAGATTTGATTTGTAATACGTGATTGATTGTAAATGAAGATTTGCTTTAATGTTATTTGATTTGGTTCTGTGAGTACGTTTCTGTGCTGGACTCTGTGTGGATTTGGTTTGTTCTGTAATCTTATTGATTTAGTAAATTTGATTTAGTTGAATTTGAACAGGATTTGTTAGTAAACAAAACCCTGCGCTTAATTTTGATTTAATTGGAACAGTTGTTGTTATTTCAAATTGGGCCCTACATTTACTGTATTGGGCTTGCAATTAGCAACATTTTCTATTACAGCACAGAAAGTATTCTCTTAATGCAACCGGCCCAATTGGCCTTTTTTCCCCAAAGGAAAATTTTAATAAACTAAATATTTAACAAAGCAATATTGTAATAAGAAGCTCATCAGCAATAATATATTACGCTTCCTCCTTAAAAAACATTTATTATCTCTTTTATAATAACAAAAGTTTTAACAATAATCCCCCTCTTCCTTTTTTTTTTAAAATCAGTAATAACATAAGACCACAAATGCATTAGCTTTATTAAAACCTTAATGGGCCTATAATTTTGTAATCACACCCCTCTCTTAAACACAGCAAAAATCACTGGGCCTTATATTAAGCACAATCAAACAAATGTTTAAATAAGAATGCCCGATAATTTTGACGGACTTTTAATACCAATACCCCTCTTTTCCTATCAACGAAAGCTAGAAACAGGAAAACTAGGTAAATAGCTCCCACCCTTCTTACTAAGTTTCGTTAATAAATCAATTATTATTTAATATCAATTTTAATTTCGCTAATAACAACTATTTAGTAGTCATTATCCTGAAATAACTTTACATTCAAATTTCATGGGCCATTGGCCAACATGCCACGTGAATGGGTTCACGGATGCATGAGTCTTTCTGCTTTAGAAAGCTCCCATTTTCGCGAATTAAAATACACCCCTAGTCTTGGATAAAGATGGGCCATCAGATACTGTTGTACCATCTTTACTTAAATATTTCTTCTATTTTAATCTCGAAAAATAAAATTATTGAGGTAGGACAAATTTGGGGTACGGCAGCTGCCCCTATTCAATTATCTTTCAGTCGAATAGCGCGAGAAAACTCGAGTCTTTTGCATTCTAATTGGAAGTTTATTGAATAATTGAAGTATCCCTAAAATTTGTCCGAAAAACATAAGGTTACACTTATATAGCATACCCTTACGAGTCTTTGGGAAAGTAGCCAAAGCTAATGATATATCGCTTACCAAGGTTTGATAACGAGGCAGATGGTTTTACGAGCGCAATTTCGTATGTCCGTGTTTGGTTTTTGATTACTCGTCCATTTGGGGCATGAATACAACAATGATTGATGATGCATGGCTGCTTGAAGACTGAGGCCATAGATTATGCTCGCGAATCGCTGCATGACGTCTGAGGCAATGGGCTAGAGTTTTGTTTTCTTTTGAGCATCGCAGCATGAAGTCTGAGGCGATGATCAATGTTTATCAAATAACGAAACATATTGCTGCATGAAGTCTGATGCAATGGGTTAAAGTGTTTTTCTTCTGAGCATCGCAGCATGAAGTATGAGGCAATCATCGGTGTTTATGTAATAAAGAAACGTATTGTTGCCTGAAGTCTGATGCAATTGGTTATATTTTCAAATCGTTGTGCAAAGTCTGAGACGATAATCTAGATTTGGTTTTCAGACATCGCTGCATGAAGTCTGAGGCAATGGTTTGTGTTACGGAGTAAAGAAGTGTACATTGCTTCATGAAGTCTGGGACAATGAGTTTGGTTCGCAAATTGTTGCGTGAAGTCTGATGCGATAGGCTGGAATTTATGGAATAAAGAAACACATTGTTGCATGAAGACTAATGCAATGGGTTAGGTTTGCAAATCACTGTGTGAAGTCTGATGTGATAAGCTAAATTTGGTTTTGAACATCGCTAGATGAAGTCTGAGGTGATGGTCTGGAGTTTGGAACACATTGTTATATGAAGTCTGAGGCAATGGGTTAGGTCTGCAAATCATTGTGTGAAGTCTGACGTGATAAGCTAAATTTGGTTTCGAATATCGCTACATGAAGTCTAAGGCGATAATCTGTACTGTGGAATAAAAGAAACACATTGATGCATGAAGTCTGAGGCAATGGGTTAGTGTGATACGGTGGGAGAACTAACTTGGGATTTTGCGTTTGTGTTCGTAAATGTTCGGTTTAGCAAGAGTCGCCACCGACTTTTTATTTATCCTAAGGAAAGGTCAAAAAGCACAGGAAAGACCTTTGAGATGTTTTCGTGGGTTCGGGGGGTAGATTATGAAAAGGGAAGGTGCTAGCACCCTTTTCATCCATGGTTATCCATGGGCTCTTAGTTACTTGTTTTAGATCACTTGCCTTTGCTTTTCGATGGTTTGAAATGATGCTTTGTGTGTGTGGTTTTGAAAATATTTTGAAAAAGATGCCTTGTCTAGGCAACCTTTGTAACAATTCGTTTGAATGTTTTACAAAGGTGTTTGTCTTTTTGAAAAGATGTTTCAATGTTTTTGAAAGTTGTCTTGAAGTTGTGTTGTGATGTGTGTTTGAAAAATGGCAAGGATGTTTTGCAAGTTTGATCAAGTAACTAAGAGTTGTCTACCCTATTTTACTCAAATATGTTTCTTATGTTTTAACCCTTTTAACAGTGTTGTTTCACCATTGTGTTTGATGAACAACCTTGCGTTAGGATGTTAAACGGGACGGGCGTGGGACGTTTGTATAGTCATAAAAGGCAACATATGGTACGTTTTAGCAATGTCGTTTTAGGGACTAGATCGTTTACCGAAGGCAACATCGAGGGTCATCGAGGGACTACGATCTTTTATCGAGGGTCTTTGCTAAAACGCCCATGCTCGAGGGACATGACTATTTTCCGAGGCAACAAGTGAGATTACCCTAAGGGTGCATGTGGGCAAAGTGTGTTTTATTGCATGCATTTGTCTTTGATTTTTAGGTTGTCTACTTGTTGGTTTTATCTTGCCATACACACCTAGTTACTAGCATTTGTACAAAAGTAATAAAAAGTGCAAAAAAATAAATCCTACACTATTACAACCATATTGAAGTGCATAGAAATGAAAAGGTAAAAATAAAATAAAAG